ATATATAATTATATATATATATAATATATATACATATATATATATATATATATATATATATAGGAGGACCCAAGAATCACTGTTCATGCTGTAGTAAATATTACAGTAAATTACTGTAGCAATTTATATATATTATATATAATATTATATATGTATTATATATTATAATATATATGTATATATAATATATTATATATATATAATATATTATATACATTATATAATATATGTTATTAAAATATTATATAATATTATAATATATAATTTATAGTATTCTAAATCCCAAAATATTGATGAAACAAACAAAATATTATAAATTATAGTATTCAAATCCCAAAATATTGATGAAACAAACATAATATTACAAATTTTGGTATTCCAAATCCCAAAATATTGATGAAACAAACAAAATTTTAGAGATCCCAAAACCCACAAAAAAATTTATGGATTTCAAATTCTATGGTGAAATCCATATCCATAAATTTTGGGATTTGAAACAAACACCCCCTTTAGCGTAATTTACCCTTTTTCTATAACGTCTATGTTACACATTTAACATTAGCACAGTGTTTAGCACAAAATCCTAAACCGCTTTAATCATAATAAAAAACTGATCAAAGATTAGTGTTTAGGTGACGTGTTTTGAGTAGGCTAGTTAATCCAAACATGGTCTAATCCGAATTTACTAATCCTGCCATAAGCACATATTCCAAGGTAATTATCTATCACCTAATGGTAAAAGGAACACCTAATATATCCCTTTTATCGCGTGCACATTTAGATTCACCTTTAGAGAGTTTCACCGCGGTAAGCAAAGTTAAAACCTCGTCCCCTACAAGAAAAAAGTAATTAGAAAAAAGAACCTTGTTATATTATTATTAACCTCCTACATCACTAGAGATTGAAGTACATCAACATGCCAACTTTTGAGTAGGTTAGTAGTCTCCTAAATCAGTTGAGGTTGGTGTTCACGTTGATTAGTCGAACACGTTATCTTAACCATACAGTTAATTATCTATGATCCATATATATGCTTGGATATATAGTTATAAAACACTCTTTGATTCCATTCAGATAAATATAAAATATCAAAGCTTTGCATGTTCAAATAAGCAAAGGGTTGACATCACATAAACTCATTTCCAATGGGCATTTCCATTATAGCACACAAATGATGCAACAATATGAAGCTTTAGGTTGGAAGGCAACATTATATTCTTTGAAGGTAGGTAAGTTAGTTGTCTTTTGTAGGTCAAGCCCTTCACCTGCTTAATGTCTTTATGTCATGTTATCAGTGGTGGGGACAAGGTTGATCTGTTTTGAAATGTAGAACTATTCTTGGTTGTCTTTATGTCATGTTATCAGTGGTGGGGACAAGGTTGATCTGTTTTGAAATGTAGAACTATTCTTGGTTTAGTTCTAATTAACACAAACACCGTGGGGACAAGGTTGATCTGTTTTGAAATGTAGAACTATTCTTGGTTTAGTTCTAATTAACACAAACACCAAGGCTCATCTTTTCATGTTTAGATAGGGATTTAAAGAGAAGTTGTCTTCAAACTTTCTTTCTACCTTGTTGATTCACTTTATAGAAACAAGTGCTTACAGATAAAAACATAAGATAATTCTGTTGAAGATCAATACCGGCCTATTTCAAAGCCCAATCTATTTTCAGCACAAGGAAAATAAAAGCCTAAATCCATTTCATCTAAACCCAAGACAATAGAAGCTTCTCAACAAATGTGGAAGAAATATATTTTTAAGAGAAAAATTATAGAAGGATATAGAAAAAAGACCTTTTAGGAGAAGTGTGTAGAATCTGGTAATAATGTATGGCTATGATTGATTCTTCCACACACTTCCTAGTCCTCTTAAACAACTATAAATAGGGGTCATGAGCTCTCATTTAAGCAAGCAAGCAAGAAGTGAGCTTGAGAGTTTGAGTGTGTAGTGTAGCCTTGTGTGAGTGTCCACCAAAATAAACGAGTTGTGTGGAAGTGAGGTGTTCTTGTAAAAACAAGTATTGTATTCTCTAGTGTTCTATCAATAAAAGTTTCCTTTGTGTAGAGTGTTGTATTCTACAAATTCCATCAAATTCATGATAATTAGAGAAGTCGAAGTCTAAAGATTGGATTGTATCAAAAATTTAAAGTTATGGAAAAAAAATAAGAAAATACATTTATATATTCTAACATTGTCAATGGTAAACAATACAAGTATATATTTAGAAATACAATTAATGATAATTAATGCATGTAAAACTAGGGGTGACAACAAACCAAGTATTAAACAAATACTTCGGTATTTATTTGCTTAAGTATTTTCTCATATTCGATTCGGTTGTTCATTTTACAATAAACGAATTGTTTTTAGTATTCGGTTCATAAACAAATAGAATTTAACCATAAATATATTCGATTCATTTGTTTAATAAAATATTCAGTAAAAAATAGTTTACTCATAACTTGTATTAATTACACGCATGATGTTATGGTCTTGACACACCTACATTTTTTACTTCAGTTGAATACTAATTTTAAGAGGCTTAACAAGTCCCAGATTCTTTTTCTTGAACCAAATATTCACATTACATATTTAGGTATCATAGATATGAAGGATTGATTTTCAATTATGAATTTAATTGTTATCTAAAGTATCAAATTCTTAGAACAATGAAAATACTGTTTATCAAATAAGAGTATCTATTTAATTAAATTGTTTAGTATTCATAAGATATAAGTATTAAGCCAACAAATTAATATACTTCAATATTGGATCGTGAATATTCGGCAAATACTGGTATTCAAATTTGAAGAAAATTAGATAACTATATTCAAATTCTTATTTGAACCTGAAAAATTTAATCAAATACAAATACAAATATCCCCATATTCGATTTGTATTCGGTTCATTCTAAGTCCCAGGTAAAACAATATCGGAGACTTTTGAAGTCTAATTAACCCATCTTTACATGAGTTCTACCATTGTCTAATGGACAACTTCTCTATAGTTTCTGGAATTGAGCTCATTAATGTTGCAAAATAAATAATACATATTACGTGTCACTAATTCCATTTGCGAAGTTAAATTAGTACTGTTTTTTTGTCAATGAAAATATTTTTATTCATTACCAAATATGAAAATGAATTACATTTCTAAATATTCAACCATAGCCTGTTATGGGTCCAATTCCTCAAGGCAGTCTCTCAATATATTCCTTTACATGAATTGGGATTTTTACATTCAGAAGCTTAGAGTATATGCTGAACTTCAGTGCACGAAAGAGAGTATCAGAATCTCGTGCACGTCCCTGAAAAAACCTAAGGTTCCTTTCCTGCTAGAGCATATAAACTGACACTGATAAAACCATCCTTTTAAGCTTTGCTTTGAGACCCGTCCCTCTCAAGCTCATACTAAACCAGGATGAAAGATGATGCCAGCTACACGATTTCCAATTGAAGCCAACCCAGTCCATTGCTTTATTCCAAACTGCTGCTGAGTATTGACAGTCAAAGAATAAGTGACTGCAGGTTTTTCTTTGATTGATATCAGTGCATAGCACACACTGATTTGAATTAAGGATCCTCATTCTGCACAATCTATCTTGAGTTAACAACCTTGAGATGGAAGCCAACCACAAGATGAAGGAATGCTTAGGGTAGTGCCAACCACCCCAGATAGTCCCTGATATTGCTGTTGAAGGAACCTGCTGGTTTAATCTCTTATACATAGCAGAAATGCTGAATTTATCACCAGTACAGCAGTTATTGATGACAGAAAGAAGATTATCAGTATTGCCAAGCTTCAATGCTAACAAATTCCTAACTTTTAGAATTTGTTTCCACATCCAAGAGTCACTTTCTCTGTTTTGCACTTGCCAAACATTGTTCTGCCTCAAATAGTTTCCATGTATCCATTTAATCCACAGAATGTCCTCCTTATTATGTATCATCCAAAGCAGCTTAGCAGTAGAAGCATAATTCCAAAATTTTACTGAATATACCCCCAAGCCACCTTAATTATGATCCTGACAAATAGCAGACCACGCCACCAAGTGCATTTTATGACCCCAAAGGAAATCAGCACACATCTTATCAATTAAATTAGTACTGTTGTATGAAAGAGAGACACAGTCTTTTCTTCTTCTTTAATATTTGACATCTATCTTGTTGCAACTGGTGACATTAATTTTCAAGGGGTTACGTCTTTTCTTCACATCATAATAATAATGCTTGGGAATCTATGACAAATAAATGCAACAAGGATATATGCCAAGCTCCTGTGGACCATTCATGAGGTTGAGACTTGAAAACAATGAAGTGAAGATTACACTCAATAATTAACTTGCGATTCAAGCACGTCATTTTTATGAGGGATTAGTGAGAGGGACCTTAATTAGGCCTCTTGATTTCTAGTGAAATTTATGGTTGATGTCCCAAAAATCCAAACCTCTACTGCAATTTTAAAGTGAATTTTGAAGCATCATTCTCTTATCTTTCTCTTATCAATTATGTGTGAAATATTACTATATCGTTCAATGCCATAAAATGCATTTTCAACACCATTAATTAAGAGCCACAAGGGTGTCTGATTGTACATTCATCTTCCTTTTGCTATGACAACATCTCGTTACGCTGGGAATAGACAACTGACTCGAGGGAGTGTGTTATTTTGATTCATAAATCTATACTAGTCTGTTTTGTTTTCTAATCCTTCCTCTTATAGTCTCTCCCTTGCTCTCTAGATTATGCATCTTCTTTCTCTGGTGAATAGAGAAGGAACTTAACTGATGAACATAAACTTTCTCTAGGTTTATTGTAAATTTCAATACAAATTCCTCATTAAAGAATTTCTTGTTTGTACAATACATGAAATGCTAAAACCTCTTTAAAAGGAATGGCTTGATCTTCCTGTAACAAAACTTCTATTAATAGATTCACTCTGGCCTATTATACTGATGGCTGCAATTCTTCTTTTAAAAGATAATGCTGAATTTTTTTAATGTTTTGCTTAATTCTTATCTATTCTTGTTTCTTCTACTCAAGTTGTTAGGCATCACTTTTTTTTTTAATGTTTTGCTTAATTCTTATCTATTCTTGTTTCTTCTACTCAAGTTGTTAGGCATCACTTTTTATTTTCTTTTCTTAATTAACCTTGACTTATATAACATATGTCAATGGTCACTTAAGTCAGTGACATATATATTTGATTCTTTGCATCATTTGTCTAATGACTAAAGAATGAAGATATATGACAATGGCCGTCAAAATCAGTATGGAATTCTCTGCAAGAGATTAAATTAATTAAACAGCAACTTGATGGGAGAGAAAAATTAAGATGGCAGCTGCTTGGTTGCAGTCAATGGCTTGAAGCCAAAGTTATAGTTCTTATACCTAATCAGTAACTAATAATTAGACTTTTGATTCAAAGAAGAAAAAAAAAAAACAAACAAACAAACAAATGTGAGCCACTTAAGAAAGATGACCTCTTCGTGCTCATGTTTTCTCATTCTCTGATGTTTGCACTTAAAAAGACCCTTTTCTTAGATTTTTCAATGATTAATGTTGCTTATTTTTCCAAGCAACCCTCTTGTACTCTAGCTAAGTTTTAACTAATGGAAAGTAAAATCTCCAAATTATTAACATTGTCCTTATCATCTTCTACATGTGTACATTGCCTCAAGCCATCTCCTACTTCTAACTAATTTTCAAACTATATATATGCTGCTTTTGTCACGTATTTCATCCACCACTCTTCCACTTTTTCTTAAAATTTTCCCATTTTAGCTAATAAAACAAGCAATTACCCAAAGAAACAATAGTAATATATATAAATAAAGTACATGAATAATTAACATCTCAATTTAAATCTATTACATCAAGTACAGTGTATCTGTGTTAATACACAACAAATGTTCTCTGATCATTTTCAGCTGCTAGGCCACAACTTTATAAACTGCAACAAATTCATCAATATTCTTGAAACTGTGAAATTTTAACATCTATGCACAAAATCCCTCCTCTTGATCTACAACATATTGTTGTTTGACCATGACATCTGCCTGCACAAACAATCAAAACCCATATTATAATTATTCTTTTTTATCTTCAGCAATCAATAAAATGAGTTCTTGACCAACTTACTCCAAGATGTCTTTCAATCCAAAATCATCATCAGGGTTTAAACCCTCCCATGCCTCAAGATGCATCGAGCTCGACGAGTTGGACTGCGACGGTTCTTGCGCTTGATCGGAGGCTACATTTTCTGGGGACGCCGAAACCAAAGAAGGAATCGAAACGTTTGCATATAAATTGATATCTTCATTCTTTATGACATTTTCTTGATCCTGTAAATTGTTCAAAGTCACTGAATCCCCCAGCTGATTCAAGTTAGTTACAGGCGCCTGACCGAGACTCAACGATCCGTTGAGCACGGCCTCGAGCTGGCGGTTGAGTTGTACGGCATCGCCAAACTGGTTACCATTGGAGCCCAAAAGGCACGTCGCGTCGAAAAGAGGAGAATAGTTTGATGTCACGAGTTGTATCAGGCTCTGAAGCATCTGAACATTCGCGAGGTTCGCTGCGTCGGCCTGAATGCGGAGCGCATTGTCCCATGCTGACGGGACGGTTAAGTTTCCTATGTTTGCGGCCGCGAGGAGGGCAGGGAGGCTGGAGAGGATGTCAAGGTCGGTCCGGCGGCGGTGGGTAACCGGATCAATACCCATGCACAGAAGCTTCTTCTTGAGGTGCGTGTTCCAGTAGTTCTTGATCTCGTTATCTGTTCGTCCTGGCAGGCGGGTCGCTATTGATGACCACCTATCGCTATTGACGACCACCTGTCATAAAATGATTGGAGAGTGTCTAATATATCAGTAGAAATTATACAATAATCCTCGATGAATTTGTCCCGTATAAATATCTTCTATATATATTCTGCTGTTTCCGTTTTATAAGAACTATTTTTATTTTTATTTTTTAAAAACCTGTGCTACGCACAGACCTAAATATTACAACATCATTAATTGTTGACATTTAATTGCAAAGAAGATAGAAAAGCCAAATAGCAAGCATAGAAATAGACATAATCTGTGCGGCCAGGGGCTGGATCTCAGAAGAACAAATTAAAAGACTACTAGCTTACTTGTTTCCGAGGACAGAATGGAGATGTATGATGAGTCGTTCTTCTTCCTCGGTGAACTTGCCTCTCTTAATATCCGGCCTGAGATAGTTCGTCCATCTCAGCCTACAACTCTTCCCACAGCGGTTGAGGCCCGCGTTCTTGGGGAGGTTCCTCCAGCTGCCGTTCCGTTGGATGTAGTCCACCAGAACCTTATCCTCCTCCGGCGTCCACGGCCCTTTCTTCACTCCGATCTCGTCGCAGCACGGCGATCTTCCCATAGTTAAATACTGTACGTATCAAGTATTAATTATAGCTCTCTTATGTATGTAAGCTGTTTTTTTTGTTAGAGAAGAGAATTGAAGAGGTGGTCTAGAGAAGTGATCGATCAGCGCTAATTGGATTTTGATGTCGGAGGATTCAATTTATATATATAGGAAGTTAAAGGTGGACCCTCTGATTGGATTTGTTGTTTTAGGTCATTGTCTAACGTGACCAATATGCCCTTAATTAATCCATGTGTTTTGCCTACTATAGATCATTAATATTAATTTCATGGATCGATTAATTAAGATCGATAAAGCGTAAGGAGATCGAGTATTTGTCTCACGTACTATAAATTATTTGCATGCAAAAATAGCGTACTTTGCTTTTTGTATTATTCATTATTGCTGTAGTGTTATCATTGCTGTAGTTTTCTGTAGAGTAATACCCTTATTAATGGTGTGATTAATATTTAATACCCTTATTAATCCTCTTGTATGGGAAGCCAACAATTGCACGTAAGAAAGAAAACTATGCAGGGTTAGGTTTCTTTTTTATGCCACGTGGCAAGCGGGCGGCGGTCCAGAGAGGCTTGTTCTAAAATGGCAAGCAAGAGGGGGAACCACTCCTCTCCTAATTTCCTTCATGTCATCACCTCATCACTATAGTTTAGGTTTCTTTTGTGACGCATATTTTTTTAAAGATAGATTATGGTTAGGGTTAGGGTTTTTTGGGCTCTTATTTGTACTCTTGGTGCGGGACCGGCGGCGATTTGGGCAATGCATGTCGAAGGCCATGAGCTCAGAAGCAGATTATCTTTTTTATTTTAATTAAAAAAAAAGATATGATGAGCTTGTTGTTTCCATTAGAGAAGCAACATTTCATATGGCAAGGTGAAGGAGCTTCAATTGAGTCCTTATATTGAGAATTAATGTTAATTTTTACCATTTTATTTAAGTTATTTTTATATATATAACAACTATATATACAAATTTAACTTAATTTGTTTTTTTTTTTTTGGTCAATGAAAAATTTTATTCATTACCAAGTATGAAAATGAATTACATATTCCTAAATAGCAATCAGAGCCTGAATTAGCTCCAGTCCCTCATGCCAATCTCTCTATGTGTTTCTTTACATGAATTGGAATATTTACATTCAGTAGCTTAGAGTATAAACTGATTTTTAGTGCACGAAAGAGAGTGTCAGAATCACGTGCACGTCCTCGGAAAATCCTGAAATTCCTCTCCTGCCAGAGTATATATACTGATGCTGATAGAACCATCCTTTTAAGCTTTGCTTTAAACCCAGTCCCTTTCAAACTCATGCTAAACCAATCTGAAAGATGAAGCCAGCTACACGTCTTCCAGTTGAAGCCAATCCAGTCCATTGCTTTATTCCAGAATGTCGATGAGTATGGACATTCAAAGAATAAATGTTTGCAGGTTTCTCTTTGATTAGCATCAGAACATAGAACACACTGATTTGAATTAAGTATCCTCATCTTGCAAAGCCTGTCTTGAGTTAATAATCTTGAGATGGAAGCCAACCATAATATGAAGGAATGTTTAGGATAGTGCCAACCACCCCAAATAGTTCCTGATAATGGTGCTGAAGGGACCTGCTGGTTGAGACTCTTATACATAAGAGAGATACTGAATTTATCTCCAGTGCAGCAATTATTGATGACTGAAATCAGATTATCAGTGTTATCAAATTTCAAAACTAACAAATCCCTTACTTTCAGAATTTGTTTCCACATCCAAGAGTCATTTTTCCTATTTTGTACCTGCCAAACATTATACTGCCGCAAATAGTTCCCATGTATCCATTTAATCCATAGGATGTCTTTCTTGTTGTGGATCATCCATAACAGCTTGGCAGCAGAAGCAAAGTTCCAGAATTTTGCTGAATACACTCCCAGACCACCCTGTTTGTGGTCCTGACAAACTGCAGACCAAGCCACCAAGTGTAATTTATGCCCCCATAGGAAATCAGCACACATCTTGTCTATCTTCTCTAGAACTTTGATTGGTAGAATGTAATTACTAGTCCAAAACATTTGAATCCCCAAGATTACTGACTTTATCAGCTGCAATCTCCCAGCATAAGATAGTGTTTTGTTATTCTGCCAATTTTGAAACTGAGAGGATATTTTGCTTATAAGAGGAGAACAATCAAGCCAAGATAATCTTTTAGAGATTAGAGGAACTCCCAGGTATCTCATTGGTAGAACCCCTTCAGAAAATTTGAGATATGAGCAAATTTGAGCTTTTAAATCTTCATCAATACCACTCAAGAACACTGAGCATTTAGCAGGATTTGGTTCCAAACCTGAAACATCAGCTTTACCATATCAGCTTTACCAAACAGCAGGAGATCATCTGCAAAAATCAGATGTGAGATTTTCAATCCATTGCATTTGGGATGAAATTTGTATAACCTGTCACCCTTGAGAGTATCCAGCTTTCTAGATAGATATTCCATGCCGATTACAAACAGATATGGGGACATAGGATCACCTTGCCTTAATCCTCTAGCACCTTGAAAGTACCCATGTAAAGTTCCATTAATTGACAGAGAGTATTTTGGAGTAGAGATGCATACCATTATCCATCCAATCATATTATCAGGAAACCCCAGTCCTATCAACATCCTCCTGAGGAATTCCCAGCTTATTGTGTCAAAAGCTTTCCTCAAATCTATATTTAGAATGGCTCTTGGAGATGTTTTTTTCCTAGTGTAGTGTTTGATGAGTTCATGAGCTAGGAGAATATTGCTGGAAATAAGCCTCCCCTTCACAAATGCACTTTGAGCATCACTAATCAAATATCCCATAATTTTCTGAATCCTCATAGAAATGATTTTTGAAATGATTTTGTAGACACAATTACAGCAAGCAATTGGCCTATAATCAGTTGCATGTTGAGGATTGTGCACTTTAGGAATCAGTGTGATAGCAGTGGAATTGAATGTACCCAACAATTTACCAGAAATAAAGAATTCTTCAATTGCTTCATAAAGATCCTCTTCAATTATACTCCAAGAAGCTTTGAAGAAATAAGCACTGAAGCCATCAGGTCCTGGACTTTTTTCATTTGATATGGAGAAAACTGCTTGTTTGATTTCCTCTCTGCTGACAGGAGAACTAAGCATATTCCTATGCTCAGTTGATAGTAGAGGGCCATTGGATATCACCTCTGGATCAGGCATCAATGTAGATGTTGAAGTACCAAGAAGGTTTTTATAAAAGTCTAGGAACTCAGTAACAATATCAGACATCTCAGTTAGTCTGTTTCCAGCCCTATCATACAGAGTCATGATTCTGTTATGATGCCTTTTATTCTTCATCACAGAGTGAAAGAAATGGGAGCTTTTATCAGCATGAATTCCCCAGTTAATATTAGCTCTCTGCCTATAGAATGAGATTTCACAATCCAGGAGTTTAACATATTTAGTGGAGCTTTCTTTTTCCTTCTGAATCAAGGTAGAATTGAGAGGATCTTCATTGAGTTGCATCTGAATATCAGTAAGCTCTTTTTTAGCTCTAAGGACTTGTTCACTAATATCCATGAAGTGTTTTTTGTTTAACTCCTTTAGGGCTGGCTTAAGTTTCTTGAGTTTGGTATGGAGTTTGAACATCATATAACCATGAAATTCCTGATCCCAAATTGATCTGACAGTTTGAAGGAAGTCAGGATGTTTGACCCACATATTGTAAAATTTAAAAGGTTTTTTCCCTTCAATAATATCATCACCTATAGTAAGGAGAGCAGGAGAGTGATCAGAGCACCCTGGCATGAGATAATCAACCTGGCTAGAAGTAAACTGCTGAATCCACTCCTCATTTATCAAACATCTATCCAATCTGGACCAAATTCTTGTGTCAGCATCTTGTTTATTTCTCTAAGTAAAGTAGCATCCAGTTGATCTTATGTGCATCAATTGACATGAGGTAATGAAATCCTGGAAGTCTACAGTATCAGCTTCTGTGACAGGAAGACCTCCAATTTTCTCCTCACTACTAATAATTGAGTTAAAATCACCTCCAATAAGCCAAGGGCAATTTACATTGTTTTTGAATTCCAGAAGATCATTCCAAAGAGATCTCCTATTAATTTGCTGATTCAGAGCATAGACTATTGTACAGAGACAGGATATCTTGCTATCATTAGACTCTATTGAACATGTCAAGAATTGCTCTGAGGACTTAATGATATGAACATTGATAATATCTTTATCCCACAGAATCCAGATTCTACAATTTGTGGCTTCATTCACATTAGAATTCCATTGCCAATTTTTTGTAATTTTCCTTGATAAGAACTGAAGCTTACTTTCAGGCAATTTTGTTTCCAGAAGAGCAAGAAATGAGAGTTGATACTCTTGAATAAAATCCTTCACTATCTTATGCTTAGAGGATTTATGAAAACCTCTAATGTTCCAGATAGCTAAATGCATTAGTTGGACAATCCTCCCCTATCCACACTTGATGGGTCATTTTGTTGCTCCAGTAATGAAAATTGAGATACTTTAAAAGTGAAATCACCTGGATCAGAAACATTTACTCTCCTTGCCAATTTTCCTTTATTAACACTAGAAAAACCAGTAGTGTGTATAATAGGAGAAGAGAATCTGTTTAACTGGTTTCCAGAATTTTGCTGTGCATGTTTTTGTGTATTAAGACTATTAGCTTGCCTGAGATCTGGAAAAGTCTGAATATCAATTGATTGCTGTTTCTGGGCATAAAAAGCACCAGAATTCCTTTCCTGAGCTCCTGAAATTTGCTGTGCATGTTTTTGTGCATCCAGACCAATTGCCAGTCTTAAACCTGAACAGTCCTGAATATCTTTTTGACCAATAACCTGTGTTCCAGAGATTACTGAATCCTCCCCTCTAACTATTGGGTCAGAAAACCTCTGTCCAGAATCACCATTATCTTTATTCTGAACATGCTCAGGATTAGTACCAGTCTGTTTACTGACAGGAACCCAGATCTTATTGATTTTCTTTCTCCTGCATTGCTCTGTATCATGACCAACCATATTGCAAATAGAACACCATTTTGGCTTAAATTCATACATCACTGGTTGCTTATAACTTCTCCCATCTGGACCTTG